ATGGCGCCCCCTCGCTCTCGCCTCGCCGTGCCCCTGGCCCTCGCCGCCCTCGTCGCCGGCGCCGTCCTCAGGGCGTCGGTCGCAGCCGCCGCCTCGCCCTTCCTCCTGCCGGGGGAGCGCGAGCGGGAGCTGCAGTTCCACCTGTCGCAGGACAAGCGCGTCGCCAAGAGGCTGGACGACGAGTTCCACGTGGACATCCTGCGCTTCTTCTCGGAGCGGGAGGTGCAGGAGGCCACGAAGGAGGAGTACACGTCCATCCCGCACCCGATCACCTACACGTCGCAGCTGCTGCAGCAGGGCGTCAACTGCTCCAACCTGCAGTCGGAGCTGCACGAGAACTACATCGACCCCGAGGTCCTCCTCTACCCCGAGTGGATCTACGAGTCCAAGCTCATCGGCGACTGCCCCACGCACTACAAGACGCGCGAGCTGCCGCCCAAGTACTCGCCGGCGATGGTGCTGGAGGCCGAGTGCGCCTGCGGGGAGTCGCAGTGCTCGAGGAGCGGCCACCAGTGCGTGCCCGTGTCGCTCCACGTGCCCGTGTGGGTGCGCCGAGGCCCCAACCTGCACGTGCTCGACGTCGAGGAGGTCACCGTGGCCTGCGCCTGCGCCATGCGGCCCAGCTTCCAGGGCAACTTCATCTTCTCGGCGGCCATCCAGAGCTAGGCGGGCGGGGCCTCCCGGAGGGCGAGGAGGAGGTGCCAGGGTCGGGCGACGCTGAGGAGCTCGGCCTCGGGCGTCCTGGCGACGTGGCCGGAAAGTGGCCGCTGCTTAAAGATATCTGTTGATCTGATATGGTTTTTCCTTTCCCAATCCTCCTGTATGGATTATATGACAGACGGGATAATTATCCTGCTCAATGTGGATGTCGACACAGAATCTCCTTATAAGAATTCCTCAATTATTTGTTCTTACTTCAGACGGGAGCGCGTGTGTATGTGTATGTATTTGTATGTGTGTGCGTGTATGAGTGTGTGAGGAAAGACAAATCAATTTTTTTTCCATGGATCTAACTCCGAAAAAAAACAGACCTTACTCTGAAGGACATAATAAATATAATCAAAATGCTTTTTTTACGCGGGTCCACAGTGTCTAGGCCTAAGGCGACTCTTGAAATTATTCTCATTTCTTCTGCAAACAATGGCTATCCACTTAACACCCTATGCTGAAGGCCATTAGTGACAACTATGAATAAAGCATTATGATTGTTTGGTTTTATTTGTAATTATTTTTCCTTTCTGTATTGTATATCTACGAATTGTTATATCACCGGTAATAATAATATCTCAGTTTGCATTTTACTCTGAGTGTTTGTAAGCTATTGTTATCAATCAGCATAAGGCTATAACTGTTAGAGGAAACATGACTAGGATACACTGTAAAAAAAAATGTGGCATAAATACACGGTAGCACACACACAGACCAGAGAAACACACACACACATACACACACACAAACACACACACACACTGTATGTATGTATGTAAATATGTATGTATGTATGTATGTATGTACATACATACATACATACACACACACTTGTGTATGTACGTATGTACGTGTGTGTGTATATGTATATATATATATATATATATATATATATATATATATATATATATATATATATATAGACATATATGTATATACATATATACATATATATATATATATATGTGTGTGTGTGTGTATGTGTGTGTGTATGTGTGTGTGTGTGAGTGGGGGATTGTGTGTGTGTGTGTGTGTGTGTATAATAGTGATTACAGAACTGTACACCTTATGTACGCACATGTGTTATAACTGGAAGAAGGGGTAATTAACACCGGAAACCGGCAGTGATTATCATAATCAGTGACCGTGACCGGAGATGATTAACCCCATTTAATGATGACAAAAGTGAACACATGACATAATTAATGAATACCGAAAGCGATTATCATAATCAATGATCGGGAATCATCAACCACCTCTAATGATGGTCTGTCGTAGATATGATAGTGGGTTGAGAACCACCAACAATGATTACGTAAGCTACTACTCCCCTGGGGAAGGATCACTGGTCAGCCACCCCGGTATAAAGACCCAGTCAACTGCATGATGTCAACATCTCGCCAAGTAGTTCATCAATCACCGCATCGGTGATGGTACGAATATGAATGTTTGTATGTGTATGCGTGTGTGTATATATATATATATATATATATATATATATATATATATATATATATATATGTGTGTGTGTGTGTGTGTATGTGTGTGTGTACGTGTGTATATATCCATATATATGTATACATATATACATATATATATATATATATATATATATGTTTGTATGTATGTATGTATGTAGATGTGTGTTTATCTATTTTCTTGTCACAGATTATCTTTTTCCCCTTTTCCCTCTCGGCTTTGTCCATCACTAAAACCATGGACTAAACTGACTAATCACATTTTATAAATCCAGCTGTTGTCCTCGTCCAAATCGCTGTCGCTCAACTCTAGGTCGTCATGAGAACAGCAGAGCACAAGCCTTTCGATGTCACGCGGGGAATCATACTCGGTCGAATCCGAATCGTTGCCGTCGGAGAGAAGGTCCCGCCAGCGCAACTAGATGAATTCTGCATCAAATGTACTTAAGTCGCAGTATCCGGAACCGAGATCGGCGTCCTATAACTGGAACCGCCTTGAAGAGGTGCAGTACCTTAAGTCAGGTTAATTGGCTGATCTCCTTTGGGAGAATAGGATCAAGCTGCGTATACCCTCTCACCGTCCCTGTAGCTGTTAGACATAAGCTCTAGCATGTCCATGGAAGGTGGGGGCATGAGAGGGTTAAATAATTGCTTCATGGCAATAACTCACCAAAACCCGCACAAACTGAGAAAAAAGATGACAAGCTATGCAAAACACTGGCCATGGCAGTCACTCAAACAAGAAAACAAATCAAAAGTACAGGCTGACTCTGTCAGACCTGCTGCTGAAATTGACGAGACAGAGAATCCATCACCCAAAAAATATGTCTATTCATGAGCTTGTCCAACAGATAGACCTTCGTACTGGTTTCTCCAGGCTTGTACACAAAATAGGGAGATCTCTGATTTTCCCTCAGACGTTCTCCCTGACCGAGATGCGAGCATAAGCTGGACCAGCCAAACAGTAACTACAGTAGTCAACGGGAGTCATAGCTTCCTAAATGAAATAAGAGAGGATCATCTCTTAGGGAGGCTTTTGCAGTGTTCTTTGTATCTTTATTTCTCTGGTTCTTTTTCTGTACAATTGCAAAGCCAGAAACTTTTTTTATTGGAGGTGTCCGGTGTCTGCTTTGGAGGTGCTTCCTTCATCTTAGGAGGTCGAGGAGCATTTTCCCTTTAATTCCGTCCCCAGACATGGGTGCCTGAGGGAGCAGGAATAAAGTCTGGTCGTTATTTAGCAACTCTTGTCGCTTGAGGGCCGCCTCAAGCCAGGCTCCAGGCATGATGCATCTTGGCACAATTGGGACATTTGGATGTTGTGTCTCTTTAGCCTTCATTGTGTGCCTTAAGGCACACATTGAAATTGTGTGCCTTGCTACAGACACTACATTTGGGCTTGGCCTTGCAGCTAGCCTGGTGGTGATCATATTGTTTGCAACGAAGTGGCTCAAACATATAGGTTCTGAGGTTGTAAGAGCCACACTATATTATAGTTAGACTGTGTGCCATGATGTTACTTGGTGTTAGTTGCTTCTGAGACGTCTCTGTGTTCGTCAGTTATTTTCCCTATCAATGGCGGTATCTGAAATGTCAGGGTCTGACACTTCCATTCTGAAGTCCTCGCTGATTGAAGGATCTTCGTCTGTTTTAGGGCTATTTATGGGTCCACTGGCAGATGGAGAGCCTTTGGCACATCTGACTAAAAGGAATACAAGAAATGCCCTCCTCCATGCAAAAGTGCAATCAAGGAACATTGAAACTGCTCCAGGAGACATTAACAAAGGGGACTCTTCACTTCTCATGGTATTATGTCTTCATGCTGCCAAGCACAGCTGGCACCAAAGGCTTAAACACCCTGATCAGAGCAATAATCCCTTCCTCCACAATAGCCAATACACCACACTGTGGAGACAATGTTGAATCTCTTGCTGTTGAGATTCACTTGGCGGGGGGCCCCTCAAGCTGTACTATGTGTACAGCAGGCCAGGCTATAAGAGCTTAGACATCAGCCAGGTATGTACTACTGCAGCACAAGAGCGAGTGATCATAGGGGGAGACTAAGGCAAACCCATCCTGCCAGGGGACAAGATGTGACAGGTTATTAGATAGCCAGTGTGCTTGAGACATTGCCTGAGATCGCTCCTCTCAATACCCAAGAGCCAATGCATGTCAAGGGAATGATCCATGATCTCACCTTGGCCACTGCAGCTCTGGTAGAGAGAAGATGGTGTGTCGATGAGACAGTCGCAAGTAACCACTATGGCACTGTCACTACCCTCTTGGATATGTGGATATGCTTGAAGCCAGATTTAGGAATGCCATAAAACAAGCATCCTCACAGACCATACTTAAAAGTCGGCCTTGGTCCAGGAGTCACAAAGACGCCTGGTACCTCTGGCAGAGATGCAAATAACCTCAGGTATTCTAGCCCTCCCAAGTGAGGCTGTCAAGGATGCCAAGTAAACTGCCAAAAGAGGCAGGCAAGAAAAGTGGCTGGAATGGCGTGAGGCCTTTGGCCACCGGACCAACCTTACAGAGCAGTGGCAATGGGTTAGGAGAGCTACCAGCCCCGAGGTGCACACACCGCGACCCTCAATCAGAGGCATACAGGCTGGTACACAAGTTGTCTGCAAGAACAAGCAGCAACAGTCTGCCAGCCGGATTAAGGGCAAATTAAGAACACCTACAACCAGGCAGACTTGCTCATATTGGAGAAAGGGCAGCCGAACCCGATAACTCAGATGGTATCTATTCTCTGAGGGAACTAAGAAAAACAGCTCTCACTCAGCTCTGGGCTCTGATGGGATCTACCCCATAACTTCCACACCATTTCAGCCACTGGCATTTCTGCAACTCATCAAGTCTTGGGAAACTTCCATTTTACCCCCGAGTTGGAAGAGGGCTGACATACTTCCCAAAGCAAAACCAAAGGGGCCAGGAAATATCGCCCCATTTCTCTCCCCAACTGTCTGGGTAAGACGGTAGAGAGGATGGTACTCAACCAGCTCCAATGGAAAATGGGACCCCCACATGAACACCTTCATGGACACCAGAGCACCAATCTCCTGCAGCTTCACAGAGAAGAAACGAGAACTTCCCCCTTAGCCAGATGGTACTCAGACGTTACAGGCTTTGAGACTGGCACTCAATTATTACAGGTGCCGAAGTCAGTCTTCCCAGAATCAGACTAGGTTACCAGTGCGCATTATAAATCATACAAACAATTAACTATGCAGACGATTATCAGAGAACCAAATGTGAGAAGAGCTTACACAGGCCGGGCCATATATATGGAAGGCCCGGGCGAGCCTAGACTTCGTAAATCTGAAATGACTGAATGAACCGAGATCAGTATTCCCCGATCCTCCAGCAGACCACGACACAAGCAGCAGCAACACAAGAACTGCCCAGTCCTAAGCCAACTGGGAAGCCTACCGACTCTCCCCGTTGATCTTCACTTCACCTTTTGCACCCAGCCATACCAGTGGGAACTCACACCCACACAATCACTCCCCAAAGAGATACAGACAGCAGTCTAAGTAGTAGATTCAACTCCAACTATTACAATCTCCTGCTAGATGCTAACTTGTCGTTCACAAATCGCTACACCCTTGTCCCTCTTCACGTGTTCCTTCTCGCTCTCGCAAGGAAGATCGCAATAATCGATCGTCGACATCGCTAATTAATTTTGTATCAGTTTATTCTAATGGGCAGCAAGTAGAACAAGATCCACTGTATAATTTTTTGTCTTCAATGAAGAAAATATTAGGGAGAAATATGGATTATTATGATAACTCTGGCATACCAAGGAGCTATGCAGATTATTTACAGGTGCTAGTGCAGAAGAGAAATCTGCTGTGAACGAGGTTAAGACACGGATTTCATTTTATGGTCACACTAATGTTAGATATAGCTGTAATGGATATGTATCTCTTAAACAATGTGTCTGTAAGAATACGACTTGAGTTTGCCTCAGACAGGTTTGTCATTAACGATGCGATAGAGACAGGCAAATCGAAGATTATGGTGAAGATAGAGACTTGTAAACTGCATTTACCAACAACTTAAGCCAAGAGATTCAGCGCGAAAGGCTCTTAACAAATCTTCGCTCCGCAGTCCTCTTATCTATATTAATAAAATGTTATACAAGACTTACATCATGGCAAGTCGACAGAATCAACTTGCTATTGACATGCCGTAGGGGTCAATGATTCCTGAATAGTTATTTCTCTTTATGGTGGACACGAAGGCATATGCGGGAGACTATAACATGAATTCTCTGCATTTCGGTCCTAATCATTTGAGCAAACTTTTTGTTACAGTTAATGACAAATTATTTATATTATCACTCGGCGAATGCGCTGGGTTGGGAAAGGAAAATTCGCTCAATTGAGAAATCTGGAAGTCAGAGGATCGCCGTTGAATTATGACAGCCACACGACTCGAAGGCTGTTTTATTTTTGGTGGAGGTAATTTACGCTGATAACGATCGCAGGCTGGTCGCAGATGGCAGAGCATAATGAACTGCAGTGAGGTACCGAGTATTTATAGCAATTTTTTAGGAGAGGATATGTGTTGCGAGGGTGTTTCTTGGCGGGTCAGCTACCTATTAGAAAAGATCATAATACCCATAATGATCTTTTTTGTGGTTAATATACTTACGTCACAGACCAACAATAATGGGCCTTTATGTATTAGAAGTTATTTGGAAATCTTGAATTGCTTATAATCTTTATTATGTATCATATCAATTTGTATGAGATAAATCATATAATTAATCAAACCCCCTCCTCCCCTCCTCGCTGATGTCTTTTGTTTTGTTTTGTTTTGTCTTCGTGAGTCTACTAGGTACCAAGGTAATGCTGTATAAGAGGCAGGTCGGATCTGATGGGTGTTATACCGTCTTTCTCAAAGTATGCCAAGATGTGTTCTACTTTTCCCGAGGGTTCGAACCCTGGAGGTAAATCATTTCTATGAGTTATTCTTATAAGAACTTTTTGTCTTATGTTGTGCATCTGTGTGCATTTACATTGTCTTATGGTCTTTGCGTGATTTTTTTTTTTTTTTACTGTACATAAATAGAGGATTAATTAGTGTCTATTTCATTTACAGCCGTAGTTGCTCGCAAGACTTGTCGTTACTCACTTCAACGGATCTTTGGAGGGACTAGACTTTCGGAAAGGTGGGTCTATCTAGGGATTTGAACTTTAACAAATACATGTTTTTATTTGTGTGCTGCTATCGTTTTAAATCCAGGTGTTAATATACTTTCTCTTTCCCATATCGTTAACATTGCGAGCGCACTGCCGGTGCA